ACTCTAACCTTTTACGTTTTATAAGATCAGCAGAGGTTAGGAATCTCGCCCTTCCTAGAAGATGCTCAGCTGTAGCATCATGTTTATGTTGTTTATACTTCACGATTTTATCCCCGGCTTTCTCCGGAGGTGGTATACGGGTACCTCAGCCCGTTTGTAAACCGTAGGGTATGTACCCTCATGTTTTGGTGGGGGGGAGGGGGGGGGGAGGGGCAAACCTCTTTATGTTGACTCATAACCTACCGAATGAATAGTTAAATACTAAAAACTAGTTGAATACTAAAAACTCAGCAACAGCCTTGCAGCTATACTTTGTTTAGGACAGGTCCAGATCCAGACTTGATACCATCCTGCAGTATGTCCCCATATACACTGCAGTCAAATGATTATGAGCAAAAGTAATATAATATTGTTATTGCATTTCAGGAGCTTTATGGAGTTCCTTTTATAGTTGATAAGATGCACAATAGTAACGAGGTGTGGCTGTACTGCATTGAGACATCCACATGGTAAGCTCTTTCTTTCACGTAAAAAACTCTCTTTTACATTAGCGTTTTGTGACAAAATGGTGGCTGTCAATTCTTGAAATCATTTCTATACACATTTTGTTTATTAGAGCTCCTGATATTTTTAGGAAGCAAATTGAAACAAGTGGAGAAGAGCCACCCCCTATGTCAGGATCATCTGCATGTGTAATGGAAGGAAAATCAATGTATATCTTTGCTGGACATTGTGACGGGGGACCAACCTCCACTGTATGTCGGTAATTCTGCATCAATACACGGTTTTCAGTAAGAATTCTAGTTGGCAGGAGAAACGTGTAACATTACAGGAGAATATTGGAAAGAGGCTCCATGTCTGAAAAAAAAAATGGTCATAGGCTACCGAACGTTAGGTGGAATACAGATCTTCTTTTGCAGAATACAAACTTCACATGAGCTTTTGTGTCCTCCCTGACAACTCATATAATTGAGGTAACAATTAATATATTAATTTTCCATGTCATTTTATTTCTGTTTAGGTTTTTGTATTAGATTTAAAAACATTTATCTGGGAAAATCTGACAAGCAGGATCCAGGGAAACCCTCCTTCACCAAGGGACAAACTGTGCTGTTGGACTCACAATGATTTGTAAGTTGTAGCGAATGAACTGTAATTCTGACTGTACTGCGACACAGTTCATTTCAAATACAAGATGCAGTTTTTTCATCCAATATCCAGGCACTGAGAAGATGCCTTGTCATCAAGATAACAATCTGGCCCCGGTTNTTTCAGTAAGAATTCTAGTTGGCAGGAGAAACGTGTAACATTACAGGAGAATATTGGAAAGAGGCTCCATGTCTGAAAAAAAAAATGGTCATAGGCTACCGAACGTTAGGTGGAATACAGATCTTCTTTTGCAGAATACAAACTTCACATGAGCTTTTGTGTCCTCCCTGACAACTCATATAATTGAGGTAACAATTAATATATTAATTTTCCATGTCATTTTATTTCTGTTTAGGTTTTTGTATTAGATTTAAAAACATTTATCTGGGAAAATCTGACAAGCAGGATCCAGGGAAACCCTCCTTCACCAAGGGACAAACTGTGCTGTTGGACTCACAATGATTTGTAAGTTGTAGCGAATGAACTGTAATTCTGACTGTACTGCGACACAGTTCATTTCAAATACAAGATGCAGTTTTTTCATCCAATATCCAGGCACTGAGAAGATGCCTTGTCATCAAGATAACAATCTGGCCCCGGTTTTTCAAACGTCGGATAGCGCTATCCATCAGATAAATCACTATCCAGCAGATAGCGTAATTGATTTCCGTAGTACTTATCCACTGGATAGCAATTTATCTGGTGGACAGCGCTATCCAACGTTTGAACAACCGGGGCCTGAATATTGGATTAAACATTGTCAGCTGAGAGTGATATTTGTCATAGCTTCTTTAATAATATTGTCCAAGTCCTAATATCTTGGTGTTGATCATTCATATAATCGGCTACAAATAAGTTCAAGTGAATTAAAAGCGGGTATATATATGAATAAATTAACTTGCACAATTTTATATCCATGGTTCCACCCCCCCCACCCCCCATGTGCTGTTCTTTATCATAGTGGGGGACTGTGCCTTGATGAGCCTGGTGGCCATATCAGCTGAAGCCATTCTCGTCCCCAGAGCCTATCGTTTCTTGGTACAAATTAAGCCAAGTGGCTCTGGGGACGAGAATGGGTTAAAGCTGGAGGTAAATACTCCTTGGTACAGGTAGTTTCACTATGCTGAGCAGGTTCCAGGTTGGGATTTGGACAATGGACTTGTATTGCAGAAACTCAAAGGATACACAAAGGGAGTGTATCAATGCAAGAAGAACTGTCCGGAACTTGGTGCATATTTGGTTACATAATGGATTTAAGATTAAATTGTTTTACAACCAGAAACACGTGAAAATTCTGATGTAGCAAAGATAT